TACTTTTTCCAGCAACCCATCTTCACCCTGTGTTGCACCACCTAACGCTTTCAGACCATGCTCTACTCTGGAGCAAGCCAAGCATATCAAGTGTGCCTGCAACACTCACAGGCTAATGAACAATGCACAAAAACAAAAGGAACAGCAAGACTCCTATTATCTGATCTTCCATAAAACACAAAAACTGCCTTCTCTGGTGCAGAGGAAGTGCCAGGAAGCCTGCAGGTGTGAGCCGGTTAAAAGAAAAGGCTTGGGCTAAATAGATTCTTTGACTGTCAGGGATTAGAGTCATGGCACTAGTGGTAACACACATCTTTTCCTTTAATTTACGAAATTTTCTCACGAGTCTGCAAGAGTTCACCCCATCAGGGGCTTTCAAGGCCATTGAAATGTCTTAAGTTTTAATTAAGTTGGAGTTGTCAGAAGAAAGCTTTTTTGGCACAGAGTCAGGGTCATTAATTACTGCTATCTTTGTTTCTTTCTGTAAAGAGAACTCCACTGACTTGTTGGGTTACTTACCAGCCTACATTTTCTATCCTCCCATTCCCATTCATTTCCAAGTGGGACTTGATTAAGCAGTTTACCAATTACTTCCATCAGTTCTAGGTAAAAAGCATTTACACAATCTTAAGTCTCAAAAAACGTTTCTCATTAGTGGTTTGGGGTACAGTAATAATAATATATTTGTCTAGTAAGTTATCAAGCAGCTGAATTCCTGCATGGATTTCTGCATTTAAATATAACTATCTTCATATTTTTCACATCATTATCTATTCAACACACCTATTCATATTCTCCCAGCTTGTGACCTTGCCTTTTATGAAATGCTAATCAATTTTTAAGTTATTTACTTTACTCAGTAACACATAATTCTAGCTGGAAACACCCAATATTGTCTGATATCTCTTTAGCTAGGCACAAATTCTTACTGTTCCCAGATAAAATTGGCTGCCAATCACTGATAATATTTTGCAGACAACAATGAAAGATGTATAAAAGCAAAATTTTTAGGCAATTTGTTAATATGCTTCATATATCTCTAAAATAAAGCCATTGCTATTTGGACCACACACGAGAACCATTAACAAATCTTTTAAAATTTGTTATATTGTAAAAAAAAGTTTCAAATGTATAAAATAATGCACAGACCTATTCTGAATATGTTTTATATATATATATGTATATATATATATATATGTATATATATATACATATATATGTATATATATACATATATATATGTATATATATATACATATATATATTTCATTACATATGTAAAAGTCAGGAAAGTCATATACTTTTTTAAAAATCATGAATTTAAATTTGTGGTTTTTATGAGAAAGTATACTATTTTGAGATAATTTGCATTAAAGTATCTCTCTTAGAGTATATGTTTGTATATCTTCCTTAGGTTTTTACATCATTTCTCATTCTTCCATTTCATGGAAAAACAGCAAAAGCAAAACAACTTAGTTAAGATTCAGAAGCAAGAATGAAGTTGAATAATTGTTTCAAAAATCATGAAACATCTAAAATAGACTAAACTTAAATCAAGACAGATGGATTTCTGTCCACCAATATGGTTAGAAGTAGTCTTTGAACTTAATAACACCTATTTTTAAATCTGAATAAAATGGGTGGTAAAAAGATTTACAAACCTGGGCAAATCCAATTCCCAAAATCACCCATTTCTTCCTGACGAACATATGATATCATTTCAAAATATTTTTTTCCAGTAATCTCATAGTCACCTGCCGTGAGTAACAGTCACAAATGTGTTACCATCAAATATGTGGCCATTTCAGACAAAAGGTCCTGAATGCCATAATGGGCACTCATCATTTTAATGATAATGCCTCATCATTTTCTGATGATTCTCAGATGAGCAACTTCTGAGTCCAAAGTTTGGACTAGGCTGTATTCTAGGGAAAGCCAAAACAGCCAGTGCTTTCATTCAGTCTGGTCCAAAAAATGGGCCATGTTGGAAAGAAGAGGAAAACTCTTAGTTTCACTGAATAATTGATTCTGTCATGTGTCACAGATAAAAATGGAATTTCTTCATTATTATCCTATTTTACTTATTAAACTTGAAAAAGAGGGTATAATTTTCTTCTGGTCCTCGATCAAAGTTCTAAACATCATTTCTAATCCACAGTAAAAGAAATAGATTTAAAAGTATAGAAGAAATAAATTAGATAATCAAATTTAACTACTCAGTTCATTTAAGAAAGTCAAAGTTTTCTAAACAGTAGTGAAATAATTTCCTACAAAGATCATTTCAAAGCCAAATATTAAAGTGAAATTGATCTTCCAGTATTTAACAGAGAATTTGAAGGCTCCTTTCTGCTACTCTTTGTGCTTTATCTTGTTTGTGTATTTTTCATACCACCCTAAAGATTACCAGAAGTATAAGAACTACCTTTTTCGCCTCCAAACCACCGGTCAAAGTGCTAGAATAAAGTAAGCACTTAGGGATTGAATTAATTTAAACAAAGATATAGATGATATATGAATCTTAAACTCAGAACTGAACCAACTTGGTAATTAAGATTATACAAAAAAAGATATTATTTACAGATTTATATAATGATTCTGTGACATTTTAAATTACCCAATAATCCTATAGACCAATACTGCCCACCCCCATTAATCTAAATTTCTTATGAATATATCTGATTATAGTCTGAGTATGTTATGTTCTGAACCTGGATCTGTCCTATATTAAACTT